AATCTTGCAAGCTGAAGCAGGGAACTGCTAAGGCAGCTGCACCCTGGTGCGACCATTACAAAGGAAGAGACCCGAGAACTAGAAAGGCGAGGCTCACCACCCATTTATACCTCTGCCTTTCAATTAGCCCCACATGTGTTTATCAGCCAGGTTGGCACAATTAACTAACTCAGATGCATTACCCAAGAAATTTTAAAAAATAAAGAAAACATCCCAGCACAGTCCAGATCAAGTCCATAAGTCTGATATTAGCCCATATATCTGATACCAATCTATAAAGTCCTCTTCAGACTCATGCAAAACATGCAATGATGCCGAATTCAGGAAGGATCACAGGCCAGTGGGTGGGAAGTCTTGTGGATCCAGTGGTGGTGGAAGCATCTCAGTGCTGGCGTGGGTCTCCACGTGGCTCCTGCAGCTCCAGGGAGCTCTAGCTCCATCAGCATAGTTCCATGTGGCTTGTCAACAAGAAGACGAAGCAGAGCGTGTCAGTGTATTGACCTCCAGCAAGCTATTTATCTCCATGGCGCTGCCAAATGAGGTCATCAAGCTGCGACCCAATTGACAGGCTAGACTCCACCCCTTTGCAAGTTGACAAGAGATTATGTAACTGGCGCAATGGGCTAGGAGGCTGGGAGGTGGTTGCAGGATAACTGAGGGAACAGTAGGTGGGACCAGACCCTTGGCAGTGCTTAAAAGTAGAGAAGAGGAAATGGAAATGAGAGGGGAGTGGAGGCCAAATCAGACAAGTGTCCCCAGGGGACTGGGTTTGTGCAGGCTGCAGCTGGGCCTGGCATACAAGGAAGATGACGGTGACTCAGGATGAGGAGGAGGACAGGCCCATCTTAAGAGCCTTGCAGCAGTGCCCGCTTCTATAAAATGGAAATAGTACACCTCCCTTGTATGGTGGCTGATCGTATTGATGACTTCCTACATGTAAAGAGCTTAGGACAGTCTGGCACACTGATTGGTACCTGCACACTACCCCAAAGAGATCCCCTGGGAAGAATGCGTGGGAAGCCAGGCCCCTGGGACTCACAAGGCTTTCCCCTTACTTCTCTGCCTCTGGCCCCTGGGAAAGGGACCCAGAGGCTGGAGTCTGGCTCTGGTCTGGCGAGGGTCTGGGCCCTGGCCCTTAGCGGAGCCCACCCTTTCCATGAATTTCCACGCTCCTTGGTCCTAGTTGAGGAGCACAGGTTGGGTAGAGGTTACAAGTTGGGCTGCTAACTGCAGGGTCAGCAGTTCTCAAGCACCAGCCTCTCTGTGGGAGAAAGATGGGCTTTCTACTCCCATAAAGAGAGACCGTCTCAGAAACTCACAGGGCTGTTTTACCCTGTCATAGAGGGTCGCCATTGACTCCATGGCAGTGCATTTGGTTTGGGCCCTGGCTCTCCCTGAGCTCCAGGCACTGGAGGGAAGGTCGATGGATGCTTTGATTACCCTGGTGGTTCAGTGACTGCTAACTGAGAGGTTGGTGATTCAAGTCCAGCCAGCGCTCCTTAGCAGAAAGATCTAGGGATCACAGTCCAGGAAACCCCGGGTGGCAGTCCTACCTGGTCAACTGAGGTCATTAGAAGTCAGGATCGACCCCACAGCACCTAAAAACAACAGCATATTCGAAGGGGCTCCAAAAGGCTCATGGGACATTTCTGCAGTCTTTTTGTTCCACTTTTCCATGAAGCCCCCTTGAACATATGTGTGTGTGTGTATCTAAAGCAGTCTAAAAACAACAGCCTATGTGTGTATACGTGCACACAAATACAGCTATAGCAAGCCTAAACCCAGATTGTGTATGGCGTTTCTCAGACTGTTGATCTTTTTTTAAAATAACATTTTACTGGGGGCTCTTACAGCTCTTACAACACCCCATACATCAATTGTATCGAGCATATTTGTACATATGTTGCCATCATCATTTCTAAAACACGTTCTTTCTACTGGAGCCCTCTTTTTGTCCCCTCCCTCCCATCCGCGTGAGTCCTTGATCAATTATATATTGTTATTATTTCGTATCTTACGCTGTCCATTTCTCCCTTCCCCCACATTTCTGTTTTTGTTCCCTTTGGGGGTGGGGCTATATATCCAGCCTTGTGATGGGTTCCCCCTTTCTCCCCTTCTCCCTCCCCAGCCATTCCCCTACTCTCATGATATCCATACTCCCACCACTGTTCCTGAGGGGCTTATCTGTCCTGAATTCCATATTTCGAGAGCTCTTATCTGTACAAATGTGTGTTCTCTGGTCCAGCCAGATTTGTCAGGTAGAACTGGGTCATGGTAGTGGAGGGAGGAAGCATTCAGGAACTAGAGGAATGATGTGTGTTTCACTGGTGCTATACTGCACCCTGGTTGAATCATCCCTTCCTTATAACCCTTCTGAGGGGGATATCCAGTTATCTACAGATGGACTTTGGGTCTCCACTCCAACCCCCCTCATTCCCATTGATATAATTGTTTGTTTTGGATCTTTTGATACCTGATCCCATCAACACCTCATGATCACACAAACTGGTGTGCTTCTTCCATGTGGGCTTTGTTGCTTCTCTGTTAGATGGCTGCTGCTTAACTTCAAGTCTTTAAGACCCGAGACACTATATCTTTTGATAGCCAGGTACCATCAGCTTTCTTCACCACATTTGCTTATGAACCCATTTTGTCTTCAGTGATCGTGTTGGGAAGGTGTATCAAAGAGTGCCAGGTTATTAGAACAAAGTGTTCTTGTGTTAAGGGAGGCCTTGAGTAGAGGCCTAAAGTCCGCCTACTATCTTAATACTTAACATATAAATATATGTACATTGACCTATACCCCTTTCATTATAAATTAATATATTTACATTTATACATGCCTATCGCTATACTTCTATATATAGTTTCTGCCTCCTACTTCTTTCCTCTATTTCCTTTCACCTTCCTTCTATCCCACTCTCATGCTCACTCTCCATTTGGCTCTCAGTAATTCCTTTTGGATACAGGACACTTGTATGAACCCACCAGCATTATATGCCCTCCTCCTCATAATTTTAGATCTCTTGTTCCCTTACCCTTGAGTTTGTTGGCTTCCCATTCCCCCTTCTCACCGCCGCCTCTTCCATGCCCCCCAACCCCAGAACCACTGGCCCTTTTGTTTTCTCTCGGGATTGTTTATGCTGCCTATCTTACATAGATTGACACAGGGTGAGACTGTTGATCTTTATGGTAGCAAGTAGCCTCATCTTTTTCCCATGAGTGGCTGGTGGGTTTGAACTGCTGACCTTTCAGTTAGTAGCCAAATGCCTGACCTATAAATACACATATATTTACAAAAATGAGATCGTTCATGCTGTTCGGAACCCTACATCTTACCCTTCATGAGCTATCTTGGGCACCTTTTGCTCTGAGTAAGTCTCGTTTTGCATACTCATTTTCTGTGGCTCATCAGTCGGTTCCAATGCAAATGTTTACTGTCCTGTTGCCTCTCCAGTCCCCTCCCCTCCAGGGCCCCTTTTCACAAGGACACCTTGCACCTTGGACATCTCTCTCTGAAACCTTTCCTGTTTGTAAGGTCGCTATTTGTTTGCAAGTTGGTCATGGGAGTTATTTTGCCGCTTGTACAGGGGTCATTCTGTCTCCTTGTATAGAGGGTGTCATTCTGTCTCCTTGTACAGGGGGTCATTCTGTCTCCTTGTATAGGGTGTCATTCTGTCTCCTTGTATAGAGGGGGTCATTCTGTCTCCTTGTATGGAGGTCATTCTGTCTCCTTGTATATGGGTCATTGTGTCTCCTTGTATAGGGCGTCATTCTGTCTCTTTATAGGGGTCATTCTGTCTCCCTGTATAGCAGGTCATTCTGTCTCTTTGTATTTAGGGTCACCACAAGTTGGGCTGATTTGACGACAGGTAACAGCAGTGATTTACAAGGTGGGTCTGGCAAAAGAGATAAGCCCAGACGGCCTGTGCATGAGTGCAGGAGCCCTGCTCCCCACCCGGGGCTGCACACTGACTGGTGTGTATACGGATGTCCCAGAAGCTGCTGGGTTGGAAGGGGTGGGGGGGAGCCCTTGCTGCTCGTCCCAGGGCCCCCTTCATTCTGTTAGGTGGCAGGGGTCCCTGGCCCAGCCACACCTCCCCCTCCCTGCTGGGCCTGGGTAGGGAAGACCAGACAGTCCCTCCCCTCAGTCCTCAGGACACTGTCCGAAGAGTCAAGTCTTCTCCCTTCTCCCTTCTCCCTGCCTTTTGCCTGTCCTTAAAGTGGGTGTGCCCAGGAGGGCCTGGGTTTGGGGGTTAGCATCAGCCATCACTGCTGCATCAATCAGGGACCTTTCAGCGGCCGGAAACAGCGGCACCCGGCTGCTGCCTCAACAAGTCCAGACGGGGGTTCCCTGCCCCTCCCCAGTCTGCCCCTCTTGCCCCCTCCCCTGGCTGACAATCACTCACACCCTTCCCCGGATGTAGGGGACGGGCTGGGGCAGGCCAGGGACACACTCAGTTTCTCCTCCCTGCTGCCCCTCCCCTCTGCCTGGAGGCCCCCAGGACCTGCTGGGCTGGGGGCCTGGCAGGGAAGTCAGGAGAGGTGTCCACAGGGGGCGGGGCCTCCCTCAGGAAGATTCTTCAAACAGAGCCCTGAACCAGCCTGGCTCGGAGGATGGTGAGGGGTGTGTGTGGCGTGGCTTGTGGGCTACCCTGTGGTTGGACCAGTGCTTGGTGCCCATTGTTCTTTTCCTTATGGAACTGCCTCAGTTTCCCTGGTGGGAAACTGATAGGGGTATCTCCCGACTTGCTTCTGCTCTGATTTTGGGGGTCTGTCTGCTTGGATCACTCTCTTTGCTTGCTCTTTTCCTCTCTCCATGAGGCCCTGTGTGGAGATGCTCAGGTCTGCTGGTGGAGGTGGAGGTGGTGGGGTGGTGGTGGGGGAACACAGGAGGGAAGGTGGCCTGTCTAGTTTTACCACGGGGGCGGTACTCAGGCGCACACAAGCCAGCGGAGCCAGCATGCCGGTCGCTCAGAGCTTGGTTTGTCAGAAGACTTATGTCACCCCGCGGAGACCCTTCTAGAAGGCTCGACCAGGAGCTGAAGCTAATGGGCGAGTACGGGCTCCGGAACAAGCGTGAGGTTGGAGGTCAAAGTTCACTCTGGCCAAGATCCGTAAAGCTGCCCGGCAGACGCTGGACGAGAAGGACCAGCGGTGTCTGTTTGAAGGCAACTCACTGCGGCGGTGGCTGGTCCGCATTGGGGTGCTGGACGAGGGCAAGATGAAGCTGGATTACATCCTGGGCCCGAAGATCGAAGACTATCTGGAGAGGCGCCTGCAGACCCAGGTCTTCAAGCTGGGCCTGGCCAAGTCCATCCACCATGCCCGAGTGCTGATCAGGCAGCGCCACATCAGGGCCCGCCAGCAGGTGGTGAACATCCCATCCTTCATCGTCTGCCTGGACTCCCAGAAACACATCCACTTCTCCCTCCGCTCACCTTCTGGAGGAGGACGCCCAGGCCACATGAAGAGGAAGAACACCAAGAAGTCCAGGGCGGGGCTGGAGCTGGTGAGGTGAAGAGGAGGAATAAGCCCACCCAGCCCCTCCTGGGTCTAGTTTCCCAATCAAATAATAAAAATAATCAAGAAGGTGGGGAAAAAAAAAAGAAGTCCACGTGGGTGCTGAGTCTAACAACGTAACCCTGTTCACTGCCCACCAAGTGAGTAGAGGCCCTTGTGTGGGGACATGGGCATGGGCAGTGCCAGGCTGGTTCTGCATCTCTGGCTGTCAGCACTGCCCACTGGACCATATACCACCTGGAGTTGCCCAGGGCTTCATTCTGCCAGTGCCCGGCTGTTCGGAGCAGGTCCCAGGCCCAGGAGGAGGGAGTATAAGGGGAGGGAGGCAGTGAAGCCCACCGGTGGAGGAAGGCCTGCTGAGCCAGTGTGAACTTGGTCTAAGGGCATGGCTTTGCCCCAGGCCCCTCCCACAGTCAGGATCTGGGAGGTGAGAGGAACCCCAAATTGCTCTGTGGGTGCCTGGTACCCCCACCCCCCCCTTCCAGTGGCTGCATAGCTTTGGGTGAGTCGCTGGGACTTAGCCTCTCTGTCTGGAAGGGAGTCCCTGGCCTGCTCTCTCTCCTGCAGGTGGTCCTCTTAAAACCTACCTAGCCTCACGCAAGGCCTGAGGCCACTGCTGTCCAAAGACAATTCTCTGCTGATCAGAGTCCAAACACCTCCCTCCCCAGAGGTCAACCAAGAAGGCGGCAGCCAGCCACGGGCCCTGCCCTCAGGTAGCTTCCAGAGCCAGCCCCTTCCGCTTGGGACAAACCCAGGTCCGACTTAACCCTGAGAATGAGGAAGGGAAGCCCCCCCCACCCCCCCACCCCCACCACAGCTGAGGCCCAGTGGCTGGCCAGGCGCCCCTCTGCCCTGAACAACCTCATACGCCCTTCCCGGACCAGACCCCCAGCAGTCCCAGCCCCTTGTCGGCCTGCTGTGCTCCCTGCCTTGCTGCCAGGGGAAGGCACTGTGGTGTGCCTCCCAGGAACCAGGCACAGTGAGGCATGGCCTTCGCTGGCCTGCCTGTGAGCTGTGCCCGAAGGGATGGCTGACGGAGGTCCCATTCCCTGGGGGGAAGCCCCTGGCCTGGGCTGGGATCTACAGTGAGGGAGAACACACAAGCCACAGACGTGTGTCTGGGAACTGAGGGAGGGAGGCGGGGTCAGGGAGGAGAGGGCAAGAAGCAGCACCATTTCAACCAGGCCTGGGGGCAGAGAAGACAAAGAGAAACCTAGAGGATGCCAGGGAAGTGGGGGGGGGGGTCGGCCCCCTGGAGAGGAGGACCCCTTTCGCCCTGATAAGACTCTGACTTGAAGCTGGATGCTGCTGTGGGAGCGGGGTGGAGGTGTGCGTGCGTGTGCATGCGTGCATTACAGGGCTTTCAGACTGTGACAATCAATTCCAGATAATTCTCCCACACATCCTTCCTGGCTGCCCGTCTGGGGATTGTGGCCTCCAAGGACTATCCCTGAGGAGGAGGGTGAGCCCCGAGCTTGGGGACTCAGGAGGCCTGGGGCAGGAAAGCCCTGCAACGGAAGGCCATGTCAGAGGCCCCAGCAGAGGGACCATTGGGTGGATGCAGGGGAAGTCTGGGATGAGGCTTATCCAAGCCTCTTCTCCGAGCACCCTGCCCATACCATCCTCCAAACCCCCCTCCCACATGGTCACTGGCGGGGAGGGTGTCCCGCAGGGGGGTCGGTGCGGGCAGGGTGCCTTGGGAGTTTGCGATCCTCACCCCTACCTTCCACATCGAGCCGACAGATACCACGTAGGACGTCCCCAGCTCTGGGTCTCAGCCTAAAGGTGAGATAACCAACCACCGTTCTTTAGTGCAAACACCTCTTACATATTGCAGGAGTTAATGGGGGCCTGCCTGTTTCTCCGTGAACCCGGCCACCCTACTGCACATCCCAGATGGCCTTCATCAGGGACAATTTCTGGGGCCCCCTCCGGACCCCCACCCCACCTGGGAAGGCCCAACTTCTGGAGGACTGCCCCCTTGCCCTGGGCCACAAGGCTGTGGGGCGACAGGGGCTGAGCTCACTCCCGTCAGCAGGGTGTGGGTGCAGTCGGGGAGGGGAGCCAGTCAGGAGTAGGGCCTGAGAGATGAGGGAAAATTTCTCTGTGGGTTCCTGTCTCATCCCCTCCCCAGACTCACCGCCACCGTGGGCCTGAGTCACCAGTAAGAGGGGCTGGCACAGACCAAATTTTTCCGCTTGGCCCGCCCCCAGCTCTTTAGGCCAGGACTCACCTGACCAGCCCTGCCCACTCAGAGGGAAATTCCAGCCCAAATCCGGTCCAGAATTCTCAGTGCAGTCAGCTAGCTTGGCGCTGGGGGCTGGGGAGCTCCTAGATCCAGGGGCACCTCTGGGCTCGGGGACTCCCTTCTGGATTAAGAAAATGGAGGCCTGGTGTGGCCACCTCTGGGGCAGATGCCAGCTGGGATAGGACCAGGACTGGGGCCTGGGGGCCAGGAAATACGTAAACATTTTTCTTGAGGTCCGCAGGATTCAGTTGACACCAATGAATTATGTCCCTAGCCCTGGTGTGTGCATGTGTGTGTGTGTGTGTGTGTGTGTGTGTGTGTCCGTCCGAGGTGTGCGTGTATGCATGCCTGCCTGTGTGGGCCCACACACGTACTGGAGCGCATGCACTCCTGCACGCACAGAACGCACGCACACACCCCCTCCCTACCTTCTCTGACTGCAGGTAGTGGAGAGCCTGTAATTACAGAGCCAGTGCCAACACAAAGCCCACATTCTGCAGGCCAGTGTCGAAGGCCCTGGTGCTCAGACCTCAAGGCACCTTCCCAGGGTTAGCCACACGCAGCTCCCCTTGGGACCCCAGGCTCTAGTCCAGCTTCTCCAACCTGAACACCGGCAGGGGCCAGACAGGTAACTGGGGACAAGGGAAGTACACTCGGGGCTGGGGGTGGGGGCAGTGCGCCTCAGCTTCTCAATGGTTGTTGCCTTTCTGGAATTTAAGACTTCAAAGCCCGCCCCCAACCCCACCGCATTGTTTACCTTGGGGCTGTGGAGATGGGGTGCGCCTTCTTCCACGGCCCTGTGCAGGTCAGCACAGGTGGGCCAGACTGAACACGTCTGAGGGCCGGATGTGGTCCAGGTGCCAGTTTGCAACCTTCCCGTTGGGCCAACTTGCTCCTTTCGGGGTTGCAGCCTAGGCCCCTCCCATCTCTGCCTCTGCGTCATCTGCTCCCTTGGCCCGGGAATGCCCTATCCCGGCTCCAGGTGTCCAGATCCTTCCCTCCCTCAGGAGCCGGCTTGCAGACCACTTCCCTCACCCCTGGCATGCGCCCTCCACTCTTTATCTGCATGCCCATCTGTGTGAGTCTGGGTCGACTAGAGAAACAAATCCATAGACATTCATATGTGTATAAGAAAGAGGCTTATATACAAGAGCAATTGAACATGGAGAAAACACCCCAGCCCAGTCCAGATCAAGTCCATAAGCCCGATACTAGCCCATATGTCCAATACCAATCTATAAAGTCCTCTACAGACTCATTAAACACATGCAATGACGCCGAATGCAGAAGATCACAGGCCAGTGGGTAGAACGTCTTTGGATCCAGTGGCATTGGAAACATCTTAGTGCTGGCAGGGGTCTCTGCATGGCTTCTCCAGCACCCAGGGCTGCATCAGGGTGGGTCCATGTGTCTTGTCAGCTGCTATGTCTACCAGGGTGTGAGAGAGTCTCCCACCTCCAAGGAGGAAGTACCGGATTTCCCAGAATTCTCAGGAGAAGGTCATGCCCACACAGAAGCCTCATTGGCTATGATCCGATTCACAGACTAGACTCCACCCCTTCACTCATAATCCTCTCAAATTGACAATTATATAACTACCACACCATCTTTGGGGAAGACCCAAGTCACTGCCTGCCGAAGGCGAAGTTGATTTATAGTCTTAACTGTAAAGTACAAAGCAGAGGCTCTGGAAATACTTGCCATCAAGTGTGTGAACGTCAAGGGCGAAAGGTGAAGAGTCCACCCCTCCCCTTGAGTCATAAATGGGCTCCACGGGTTTGTGTTGCTTGCTGACGATAGTGGTGTGGCTTTGGGGGAACCACTTTGTCTGAGTCTTACTGTCTTCATCTGGGGAATGAGCATACAACGACCATCACCATCACGAGGGTCACCTGGAGATGGATAGAGGCGTGGTGTCGTGGTTCTTAAGACCATTGGAAATATGTGTTTTCCGATAGTCTTAGGCGACTCCTGCGAAAGTGTTGTTCAACCCCCAAAGGGGTCGTGACCCACAAGTTGAGAACCGCTGCCCTAGATGCTATATCTCTTGATAGCCAGGCACCCTCAGCTTTCTTCACCACATTTGCTTACGCACCTGCTTTGTCTTCCGCGATCGTGCCGGGAATGTGAGTGCCTATCTTCTTGGATGATTTGCTCCGCATACGGACTGAGTAAGGACGGTGAAAGGATACGGCACTGGTGGACACCTTTCTTTATGGTAACCTGCACGGTATCCTCTTGTTCTGTTTGAACGACTGCCTCTTGATTAATAAAGGCTTCTGTGCTTTCGCAGCAGTGTTTTTTATCTTATTACTTTTGTTGTTGGGTGCTAATGAGTCGGGTTCTGCGTGAGCAAAGTTCACTGTTCTGAAATCCCGTTCTTTGCTTAACTGTCCGTGGTTTGTGGTGACCCACACAGTTAGTAAAACACAGGCAAACACCTTCCTGGTATTCTTTGCTTTCAACCACGACCCTCCGGACATCACCAATGCTGCCGCCCTTCATTTCACATACTCGGCTAAGTTCAGCTTGAGTTTCCGATCGTCCCTTGTGGATTCATGGCTGCAACCGTCTTTGAATTATTCTCAGTGATATTACTGATACTGTCTGATAACTTCTGCAATTTGTGTATCACCTTTCTTCTTCTAAGTAAAGTATTATTAATTGGGAGTTAGTGCACATCTCACGTCATGCCATAGTTCAGTCAACCAGGCAGTGATGCACAATGGCCACCACCATCATTTCCCAGA